TTACTCGAAACGAAGTCATTTAGAATGTTTTTAGAGCATAAACAGTAGTGTATAGGATTTCCTGAAAGCGCGCACCTGCGCATTCATGACGCTACAGAAGCCGGCAGACCAAACCAGATGAAAGTGCGCATTCAGCGTCTGCTCTTCCAATAATGCAAGCGTAGAAGAAGAAATTTGCTGTTTACCTGTGCAAAGAAAGAAACAACGAAAGAAAAATGTCTGAGGACTTCAGTGTTGAGGAAGAGCATGAGTTCTTTGCCGAGCTGAATGCGCACTTTCATCTGGTTTGGTCTGCCGGCTTCCGTAGCGTCGTGAGCGCGCATGTGCGCGCTTTCAGGAAATCTTATACACTACTGTTTATGCTCTAAAAACATTCTAAATGACTTCGTTTCGAGTAAATTCTGGATGCTACCCACTCAGGACACTTGGAATACATTGGACGAGCAGTATGGAGGAATATTGACACGTTTTTTGTGGACTTTTATGGACCTTTCTGCCTCGGGCACCATAGACCTCCATTATTTGAATGTCAGCAGACAGCAAGAAGCCTCCCAAATCTCCAGATGCATTTGAGATATCAAAAAAGTACTCCAGAGTGTTGTTCAGCATGGGGTTGAGTAGAAAATGAAGGCTAATCATGTTTTGGGTGTACTATTCCTTTAACAAACCAAAGTAGTAAAGCAAACGGGGCAAAGATCCTTCACAATGATGTGAAATACGGTCTAATAGGACTGATGGTGCATACCTCGTTACTCACACATTTGTTTTGGTTTAATTTGATCATTTTTTTACCTGTTAATAATATACACTATATTGCCAAAAGTATTTGCTCACCCATCCAAATTATTGGAATCAGGTGTTCCAATCACTTCCATGGCCACAGGTGTATAAATTCAAGCACCTAGGCATGCAGACTGTTTTTACAAACATTTGTGAAAGAATGGGTCGCTCTCAGGAGCTCAGTGAATTCCAGCGTGGAACTGTGATAGGATGCCACCTGTGCAACAAATCCAGTCGTGAAATTTCCTCGCTCCTAAATATTCCACAGTCAACTGTCAGCTGTATTATAAGAAAATGGAAGTGTTTGGGAACGACAGCAACTCAGCCACGAAGTGGTAGGCCACGTAAACTGACGGAGCGGGGTCAGCGGATGCTGACGCGCATAGTGCGAAGAGGTCGCCAACTTTCTGCAGAGTCAATCACTACAGACCTCCAAACTTCATGTAGCTCAAGAACAGTGCGCAGAGAGCTTCATGGAATGGGTTTCCATGGGCGAGCAGCTGCATCCAAGCCATACATCACCAAGTGCAATGCAAAGCGTCGGATGCGGTGGTGTAAAGCACGCCGCCACTGGACTCTAGAGCAGTGGAGACGCGTTCTCTGGAGTGACGAATCGCGCTTCTCCATCTGGCAATCTGATGGACGGGTCTGGGTTTGGCGGTTGCCAGGAGAACGGTACTTGTCTGACTGCATTGTGCCAAGTGTAAAGTTTGGTGGAGGGGGGATTATGGTGTGAGGTTGTTTTTCAGGAGCTGGGCTTGGCCCCTTAGTTCCAGTGAAAGGAACTCTGAATGCTTCAGCATACCAAGACATTTTGGACAATTCCATGCTCCCAACTTTGTGGGAACAGTTTGGAGCTGGCCCCTTCCTCTTCCAACATGACTGTGCACCAGTGCACAAAGCAAGGTCCATAAAGACATGGATGACAGAGTCTGGTGTGGATGAACTTGACTGGCCTGCACAGAGTCCTGACCTCAACCCGATAGAACACCTTTGGGATGAATTAGAGCGGAGACTGAGAGCCAGGCCTTCTCGTCCAACATCAGTGTGCGACCTCACAAATGCGCTTCTGGAAGAATGGTCAAAAATTCCCATAAACACACTCCTAAACCTTGTGGACAGCCTTCCCAGAAGAGTTGAAGCTGTTCTAGCTGCAAAGGGTGGACCGACGTCATATTGAACCCTATGGATTAGGAACGGGATGTCACTTAAGCTCATATGTGAGTCAAGGCAGGTGAGCAAATACTTTTGGCAATATAGTGTATGTTCTGATTTTATGTCCTGATAATTAAATTCCTTCAGCTGCAAAAAGTTGGATTCAGTTTTAACTACCTTGTGTCTCACTGGCTCCTTCTCTGATCTTAATTATATCATTCTGGTTTGATGATTCTTTTTTGATTATTCAGCACAAATCAATAACTCTCACATCTAGGTCATATTTGTCTATAATGCCTATTTGACTCAACTTTTATATAAAATACTAAGTTTGTTATGATTAACAGCTTCTACTTAATGTAGCATTCACTTTTTGTAAATTACTCAATAAATTACACAAGTTAAGGCTTGTGGGGCAAATAAATCTTATCTGATCGACGAATCAATTAGAGGTTAAAATATGCTTAAGGTCAGTTTGAACTCCTCTGGTTTGTGATTACAGTGGTCATTTTCCTTAAATTTAGACTGAAGCAGGCCTGGATTTCTGACACAAAACGTGTTTACGGGGCGGGCAGTGATAGCTGTGCAGCTGGAGCCAAAGCATTTAGACACACATGCAGGAAACAACTCTCCATGGACCCCCTGACCTCTAGATAGTCCTCCGCCTTTGAGCGCTTCATTGTTGTTCAACTTTAGAACGGGACATTTAAGCCTAGTTAGATCCGGTTGGCCTAATTATCTGTAGCTGTAGCCCAACCCTGTGGGATGAATTGACTAAAGTTTCTTTCTGCTTTTAATGTAAGTGCAGTGGGATAAGAGTTTAGAAGCAATTCCTTAAGTGCAGCATCAAAGAGGGGAACAGCCTTAAAACTTTCTGAAAGCTCTAATTGGCTTTAAAGCCCCGTCCCAACACTCACAGTTGTTACATGAGAGCAGAGAAGAGCCCGGAGTCGGCAGCGCTAATTCACGTCTTTGTTTTCGTATCGTCCACCATTGTTCATTCAAATGGCCCTTTGCTGGCCAGAGGAAATCCCACTGCACTCTATCCTGTATCTGCTGCTAATCAGCACTATGAAGAGGGTGAGGAAGCCCTTTGGTGTTATTTGTTAAACTACATGCATCAATTTATTGACCTGGATTTATTTAGATCCCCCTAAAATCAGCATTTACCTGACATCAGGAGTAATTTTAAAGAATTTAAACATGGTTCTAGTTTTTTAACCTTTCTGTTTAGCAAGAAACCCAGAAATTATCAAGTTTAGATTTTTCTTTAAGTCTTTGATAATTACTTTAATTACACATATTGCTACTGATTGTAATGTTGAGGGTAAAAAGTATCTACTTTTCTAAATCATAGTTAAAGACTTAATTTTTTTGTTTAATTATTCCTCTTCTGATGCTGAATTCTACCACTCCTGATGAGGCTGAAGATCTGAGGCAGCGGAGCCTTTGGGGCGGCGGCCCCCATCGGCCACCACACTGCTGTCGCTGTCCATGACACATCATGAGTTGTGTTTTTTATTTTTGTTTTTTACCTTAGCGCGTAAAGCCTCTGTCATGACATTTGGATTCTGTTCTTTATAAAACCACCTTAACCTTTGCTCAGTGAGCTGCTTGTATGAGCAGTTGATCATTTTGTTTGTTTATTAAATTACACTCGTTTTTCTTTGGCTGTAATCTTTATTTAATCTCCATAAGAATGGGTTGGCCTCTCCATGTTTGTGCTACAGGATCGGGGTTTGGGGATTCTGCTGATTTATTGAATTTCTTTTACATGTTAGTTCCCACTTATATTTGTTTTCTATTCTTATTAATTATTGTATAAGTTTTTGTTCTGCCTTAAACATGTTATATATTTTGTTAATTAAGAGATTTGCCATAATAGTTTGGCTCGTTTACCTTTTGTGAGTTATTTTCTCATCTATGTTTCACGCTTATTTCTTAGGGTTTTGGGGGTTTTATCTTTTCTTTCCTTATTGATTATGTTTATATAATTAAATATGTTCCCCTGGTGTTACCCCTGTTTAAACATTTGTGCCTCAGTCACAGCCTTCAGTAAATCAGCAGATTCAGTTCACCTGTGTTTCCTTCATCACCTGCTCCCGTGTTCGTCTTTACTTTGTTATTCCCTTTTTGTTTTTCACTGGTTCATCTTTGTTTCAACTGGTTCTTCCTTGTCTGTTTGCCTTTTTTCATACCATCCACCCACTTTTAAGTTTCTTTTACTAATAATAGACCTTAAGAATCTTTTTCCTGCTCTGTTTATCTGCACTCTGGCCCACAGCACAGTTCTGACAACCAGGGCGTCACATAGAAAGACCCCATTTGCTTAATCTGATTTGCTCCTTGTGGGGAACGTCTGCCTTTGTGTCAGTTGTTGGGATTTAAATGGCATTCAAATTCCGGTTTGCAAATATTTAGCACCTGCAGATGGCTCCATGAACCGGTCCCAAAGTGTTTGTAGAGTGCAGCGGACAACTGACCTGAACTATATGTACTGAGGCAAATGGAACACGTTAAATCCATCCCTTCCTCTTAGCTGTTTTTGCTCTGAGCTATAAAACACTTAGTGTGTTGGCATCCGAGTGGTAGTGGGTTGGGTTGAACTGCCAAATTCACATTTAATGAAAGAAAAACTAATCTGGATTAGTTTTATTAATAGTTCTTTCCCCCTGAGCCAAATGGAGAAGGAGGGAGGGGCATGGGAAAATAATTAAGACTCTTCGCCTTCCCTGATTCTGCGGTTAATTAAAAGGAACAACCAGGCTCTTGATTTCTGCTCCTTAAGTTGATGGAGGTCGAACAGCTGCAGCTTTTCACTCTATTCTTCTTCATAGTGAGGTTCATTAATAGATTTTCAGCTCTTTCTGCAACTTTTCAGAACTGGATTGGATTTAGGGAGGAATTTAGTCGCTGGTTCTCATCTAACTTGACAAGTTTCCGACATTTTTATCCTCATTTTGTGGCTTTGTGAGATAATGCAAGTACTGAAGGGAAAGAGAATTATGAGTTGTTTGCAATTAAAACTGGAAGTTTTATATATTTTTTCCCATCATGTCTTTCAGTCCCAGAGGATCTGTCCCTGGAGGAGAGGGATGAGCTGTCAAACATCCGACGGAGGAAGAGGGAGCTGCTCGATGATATTGAGGTACAGTTTTACAGTCCTGATCAGAAAGTAAGGGTACCTATGAGGGTCAGAAACATCACCAGTCAAAGCACATCTGTTGATTTTTTTCTTCCTAAAGGAAAATTTAAAAATGCTCAGATGTGATCTGAAAGGGGAAAAAGTGAAACATGAGGAACTTCCTCTAATATTTCTATTAAGGTTTGAGCTTTTAAAGAAAGAATCAAAAATCTAATTCTGTGAAATCATTTGTTCACTCTCTAAAATTGGGTATTTACCTTTGCATTCTTGTGAAAAGTATTTTTAACAATCTGAGGTGTTGTTTTTATCTTATTCTGTTTATTTTACTTTGTGTTTGTATGAATATAACCTTTATTTATCCAGAGAGAAAAATCTTGTCACGATCAGCAAACAGACAATAAACAAAACCTGTTTGGGCCCAAAATAAAAAACTTTTGGTAGAAGGGGCTGTTCTGCTTTTCTTATTATGTACAATTTCATAATCAGTTAGTTTTTACAAAACAATAACGTCCGTTGTTTCATTAAAGGAATAGTACACCCAAAACATGATTAGCCTTCATTTTCTACTCACCCCCATGCTGAACAACACTCTGGAGTACTTTTTTGATATCTCAAATGCATCTGGAGATCTGGGAGGCTTCTTGCTGTCTGCTGACATTCAAATAATTGAGGTCTATGGCGCCCGAGGCAGATAGGTCCATAAAAGTCCACAAAAAACGTGTCAATATTCCTCCATACTGCTCGTCCAATGTATTCCTAGTGTCCTGAGTGGGTAGCATCCAGAATTTACTCGAAACAAAGTCATTTAGAATGTTTTTAGAGCATAAACAGTAGTGTATAGGATTTCCTAAAAGCGCGTTCACAAGTCTACGGAAACCGTCAGCGTCTGCTCTGCCGATAATGAAAGCGTAGAAGAAGAAATGTGCTGTTTACCTGTGCAAAGAAAGAAACAACGAAAGAAAAATGTCTGAGGACTTCAGTGTTGAGGAAGAGCATGAGTTCTTTGCCGAGCTGAATGCGCACTTTCGTCTGGTTTGGTCTGCTGCGGTTTCTGTAGACTCGTGAACGCGCTTTTAGGTAATCCTATACACTACTGTTTATGCTCTAAAAACATTCTAAATGACTCCGTTTCGAGTAAATTATGGACGCTACCCACTCAGGACACTTGGAATACATTGGACGAGCAGTATGGAGGAATATTGACACGTTTCTTGTGGACTTTTATGGACCTTTCTGCCTCGGGCGCCATAGACCTCCATTATTTGAATGTCAGCAGACAGCAAGAAGCCTCCCAGATCTCCAGATGCCTTTGAGATATCAAAAAAGTACTCCAGAGTGTTGTTCAGCATGGGGGTGAGTAGAAAATGAAGGCTAATCATGTTTTGGGTGTACTATTCCTTTAAGGATGTTGTACTGCAGCTTTTATTATTGCTGATACCAATATTGACCAGACATGGTGCTATTTTACTGTGTTGACTGTTAAACAAGGCTTGATCAAATGATACTATTTAAACAATCAAACTCAGGATGGTGCCCCTTTTTATTGACTCTTTTGTTTATAAGAAAAACAAATTAAATATTTGTTCAAACTAAAACAATCAGAGTTTTATGTCTGCTTTTGCCTTTTTTTTGAAAACAGGATACATTATGAGAATCTCTCATGCTTGTTCTTTATTTTATTTATATCCCTGCAATAGTTGGGCCTTGTGAGTTTCAATTCATTTAGAAGATTTTTATTTACATTGCTCTGGCTGGCCATAAAAACTCTTCCAGAAACCTGCAGTCACCGTGTTCACACAGACTGACCAAGTCATTGGCTCCAGTTTCCTCCTTGGTGCTTATTTAGTAAAATAGTCTTTGGTCAGAATCAGTTGCTCTGTGTCTCTGCTGCAGCTCTGTGTCTCCATTTGCATGCTGTTGATAATGCAAATAGCTCAACAGTGGCTCTTTGCACTCCCAGTTTGCTCATTTAAACTGGTGTTTGGTCCTGTGCTGGTCCTGTACGGAGGGTTCATATTTAGTGCTGTCACTATTTCCCACTTCCTTCTTTTGACATGAAGAAAACACCGACTGGATGTTTCTGTTTTTTTCTCCCAGAGGTTGAAATTTGAGATCTCAGAGGTCATGACAGAGATCGAACAGCTGACGTGTGTCGGAGAAAGGTAGGTTGAACGTCACCATTCAGTATGCTTACTTATTTTCTGTAAACACCAACATCCACTCTGTGTGTTTATAGGTTTTATGTAAAATGATTCTGAAAACTGGAACACAAAGTACCATCATTCTTCGTAATGCCTGGTATGAAACCGTATTCTAGTTTATAATTGTAGCAATTCAATATTTCTCAGCAAAATAAAAATGTTTCCTAGAGTAAAAATCATCTAGAACAATTTTGCACAAGAGTTCTGAGGTGAATCTGTTGTAAAATGTTAATAATTTGACATTTTGTTCTTTAATAACCACGAGATCTAATGTATTTCAATGCGATTTAATGCAATAGATAAAAAAAACAGTAACTCAACATCATGATGTGGAAGGAAATTTCTACAGCGTTCAAATTTCATTCTGTTGCACATAATCATTTTTAAAAATGCAAAATAAAATTCTAGTGAATATTCAGTTTCCTGGTCAGTAAATAGTATTATCTTAGCGTAGGAGGTGTTCAGAGTTAGATAACGGGGGAGAACTCTGGTGAACAACCAGTATAATGAAGACTAAAGCACATCCAGGTCAGGCTATAAAACAGAAGCCCAGCATTTTACACATTTTAGCAAGAAAATGGGAGGGAAAATGTAAAAATTCAAAACCTCCCATTAAATTTCACCTGAAGCAAAAATCTGAGCAAAATTAATCATGATAATTAATCATAGAAGCAGCCGGCTGCTAAATGCTTATATTATTAGAATACTGATCTGTTTGATCTGAAATATAATAACTACAGGAGCAAAGCCAGTTCATGATTTAAAAGAACGAGTTCAAAGTTAATTTCACACAGATGAAAATGAACTAGCTCACGTTCATAGTTCACTTAAATTGCTCAAATATACTGAAATTCCGGGACCTGGTAATATTTAGAACTTCACAATTCATGTTTAAGGTCCTAAATCAAAAACTTCCACACAATATACAGGAAATGTTTGGTGTCAGAGAAGGGGGTTATGATCTGCTTCCTGCTGCACTTTTTGTATTTTTCTATAACTTGTGCCATTTGAAATATCAATGCAACGTTCATAAGCTGTATGTAACGCAATTTCGTTCTGTATGCACCCTGTGCATACAAAATGACAAATAAAGAAGTCTAAGTCTAAGTCTGATCTAAGAGGTGAAGGATACTTTAAAAAACAACACTTTAGAACAACCAGAAAGAGTTTTTGTTTATTTGTGTTTGGAGTAAATGTCTGGAATGGATTGAATGACCAGTTTAAAGAAATGATAAATGCAAACCAAATAAAAAAACTGATTAAAACAGAGCTCATTTCAAAATACGCTATATAAGATGACTGTTTAATAGTCTATAATGTAATTGATGACATAAATAGTACTTAAAATAATTGTACATGGCTAAACATCATCATGTGGAATGGAAACAAGTGTTTTTTTGGTTTTTTGATGTTTTGACAGTTAATTGATGATAAATTGACAAGCAGGAAAGGGGCAGGACATTATAAGATGTATCTTCTACCTGCTCCTTTTCCAACAGAAAATATAAAATTTGCATGTCACATGGGCAAAATAATTAGTTTTATATTTTCATTCTTAAGTTTGTTTCATTCAAATTTTTTTCTTTCTTGATTGTTTTTACTGTCTGTTCGAAATAAATAAATAAAATAAAACAAAAATAAAAATAAAAATGATTTAGTTAATTTGGTAAATTATGCCACAATCCTCCACAATAGAACCTCATATTTCACCCTTTAAATGTTTGATCATAATAAATGGAAAGTAAGGGAAAATCCTGGATGGAGTCCAGGTTTACTGGATGTGCAGTAAAGCCTTTATTTAGCCAAATTACACAGAAACATACAGAAACATTCAGGTTCTGCTGAAAAGATCTGGATCCAAAATGATACGATATTTCCCATGATTGCTCAGATGCTTTAACTTAATGTGTTGCTTTAAATTTGAAGTGGACGTGGCTGATGTTCGGACTTGTTTAAGTCCAGATGGGCACAGTTTGCACAAAAACATCAGAGGTTTTTTTTCTGTCCAAGTCTTCTTTTGTTAGATCGTAAAATTTTGCCAAGCGCTCTGCTAAAAGGGCATCAGATATACCAGTAGATGAGTCAGAATGGAGCAGACTAATACTAGCAGTAGACATGCTGGTCTGCTCCATCAGGCTGTTTGTTGTAATATGTAATAAAAGGGGTCATTATTAATTGAACAGGAAGGTGAGCTGTGTGTGTCGCTCATTATTCTTAGTGACGTTGCTATCCTTCACGTTCATTACTTTAAAACTGATCCGTTCAGTTCACCATTCACTAAAAATAGGAACAGATTCAGTTAATGCAGTTCATGCACTGCACAGGTTATAATTTATTTAATAAATGCTATGTCACTGTTTACTCCAACATTTTTGTTTGTGTTCCAGCAAAACATCCCAGAGGAACAAACAGATTGCAATGGGAAGGAAGAAGTTTAACATGGATCCTAAAAAGGTAGGCAGCTCTGGCTCTACCTGACGCCTCCAGTTTGTGCCCAGCTTGTAAATGAGCTGCTCCCCTGTGCAGCGACGCACAGCGACCAACTCTGTCATTTCCCGTCACTCACATTGGAGCGAAATAAAAGGATCTCCTTTCCTCTCCTGCAGGGAATCCAGTTCCTGCTGGAGAACGACCTCCTTCAGAACACCCCAGAAGACATCGCCCAGTTCCTCTACAAGGGCGAGGGCCTCAACAAGACCGTCATTGGGGACTACTTGGGCGAGCGGTGAGGAGGAATTCCTCTATACATGAGATTATCCCCAACTTTGTGATTAAAGAGGAAAATCATCCAGTATATGAACTAATTAATGAGAACATGATTAAGCTCCTTTAGGAAGAAGCTCTGAGACGATGTGGGTGTTCATATAGCTTCATATTTTCCACTCCCTGTGGATTTAAACCTGCTAAGCAGTAGATCCATCTGAGTCCTCACACCTCAGGCACCACTGTTATTAAACAGGAAAGAAAAAGTCTTTAATGTTTAACAGTTGACATGTTTAATTTTTTAATTTACATACAGAGTGAGTCACAGATGCAGCCAGAAAATTGATTTACGAGAAAAGAACAAAATACACACATATGTGCAGGGTTTAAATGTTGCAAATGCTTTGATTTGAAACTAGAAAAGCACTTGGGGAACACAAACCTTTGGAACATTCGACATATTATCTGATTAGCCAGTAAAATGATCCGGTTTTGATCCTTGGTGGGTTTCTTTGTGCATCTCTGACTGTTTCCGACAGACCGTTAAAACTACAAGCTGCTTCTGAAATAATTCAACATTTCTATTACGCCATAGATGTTGAGCAAAAGAACATAAAATGCAAAGTTTAACAAAAACTGTCGGGACTACCAAAACTAACATCCAACTTCCACCTCCTACAGCACAGCCACGCTGTTTAGTTTAAAGACACTGTTTCAATTTGCTTTCAAAGGTAAAATCTGAAAATGTTCTCTGTAAATATGGATTTAATAATGAAGAGATTACCCTTTTTTGTCATATACTTGTAACAGTTTAGTGATATTTATTAAAACAAGTAGAAAATAAACATCAGCTAGGAAGGATTATTATGTTCTGTTCAATAATAAAAGAAAATCTGTAAATCTATCATAGGATAGTCGCACATTTGTTAGGCGAACAAGATTAGAAAAAGTGAACAGAGTAAATAAAGAGCAGCTGTAAACAGGCAGGCTGTTTGAACGGGGGAGGGGCTCATTTACATATTTATAAGTGAGTCATGCATTTTAAATGAGTCTCAGGTGCAGAGGGACATCTGATCGTTAAAAAACGAGAAAGGATAATTTTCAAACACAACATTTCCTCTCAGTGAGACAGAAACATGAATAAAAGGCATGTGGCTGAGCCATCATTTGAAAAACTTTGGACTTTCTCACTCTAAAGAGATGTGTTTATTATTATTAGTTATGCAGAGAAATAAAAAAATAAGATCACTGTTCTAGAAAAATGTTAACCTGACTCCGCCAGATGGGTTTGCTGGATTTGCTCCGCATATCCATCTGGAAACCTTCCGAAGAAGTAATTTTGGGAAGGGGCGAAAATACTGGTTAGCTGATTGGCCTATGTTGGTGATAGACGGGCCAAATAAACCAATCAGATCAACGAAGCATATGACGTACTAACAGACCGACGACGAAGAGGAGCCAATTGATAGATCAAACTCTTGCTGAAACCAGTCGGGAGAAAAGCAAAAACGTCTTTTCCTCTGAGAAAAGCCTCCAGAGCAGTGTTTTGCTCTTCTTTCAGTGAAGAAATACTCTGTAATTCCGATAAAACTTGCTCGATAGCCACGCTAACGCTAGTTTCATCGGCTGAAGCCGCCATGTTCTTTAGACTGAACTGTCGCGCTTCTCGTTGAGTCACATCTCAACCCGCCTCAAAGCCAACGCTGATTGGACGTTCGTTTGGTGAACGGCTCCAAATGTTCTTTAACGGAGAGTCTCCAGACTGATCTGCGAGTGAAACCTTGAAAGCTCGCGAGATCAGGATGGTCTCACGAGGTTAGAAAAATGTAGCTCAACATTTGGAAATCTTTTTAATATACAGTCTCAACCCTGCAAAAAAAAAACAGGAATAAAATCAATTCAGTTTATTTATATAGTGCCAGTTTACAACACATCTTTTTAATGCACTTTAGGGAGACAAATCTATCAAATCATCCAGACAGATTTTCTTTCTAAGGAAACTGAGTCGTAATAGAAATATATAGCTCCTATCCCTTCAAGAAAGGTGAATGGATAGGAGCTATAACGTTGGAGGTTTGAATCCAATCTTTTATTAAGATTCCAGTAAATTTCACACGCTCATGGTAGACTGCCTCATGGCCGGTGCTGATGAATGGAGTTCGTACCAACTGTAAGGGCCATCACATCCCTTTGCTTTAAGTTGTCTGGGTGCTTCTACTGCTTTTTGCATCACTCTAAAACTTTATGATTTACTGAAAGCTTTATTCACTGGAAAGCACCAAAGAGGCCCACCTACCCACTAAAGCCACAATAAACACCAGCTGAGGGTCTGCACCCACTAATTACCTCTAATGAAACTGATGCAAGAAGCCGGGGCCTATCATGACATGCCGAGCAGAGGTGAAGATTGGAAACAGGGAACCATGCAAATAAGTTTTACTTTGTATAATAGACTCACTGTCATCTCACACAACATCGTATATATTAGTATATTACCTCCAGCTTTACAAACAGCCCTCCTCCCAGACCCTCCTTTGCAATAACAGCGTCTGGAAATATGTGTCTACCCTCAGAGGACCAGCGTCTTTGGGTGTGACTGAGCAATAAAGGCTGCAGCGTTACAGACACAAACTCCCCAGTCTTCCTCCAAATAAATTACAGAATGCTATTGTAATGAGGGATTGTTGCCGTCTTCAGATGAACAAGGCCTCATAAAACACAAACATCTCTGTCAGAACAGCTTTGATTTGGTTTGAAGACAAGCAGGCAAAGGATTGCGATTCCTGTTTGCTGTAAATGTGATCAGAGAGCAATTCTCAGAGTCCTAAACAAAGTTCTGACAAAGAAAGAAACCTCAGCTTGGTGCATGTTTTTTTCCATCTCAATCAAATACTCTCCATCTACCCGCCCACCTCCTCCAACTCAGCCGGCTGTTTCAATTGCTTCCAGACGCACAGATCGTCTGACAGAAATACGACAAGAATGCAGCGAAAATCATGCTAATTTTCTAGCTTGTCTCCTGCTTTACATTTATATGGCCCCTCCTGGATGAATCCCTTCACCTGTCTGAGATCAAACTGTAAACTCTCTCTTTTTTTTGACCTAGGGATGACTTTAATATCAAGGTTCTTCAGGCCTTTGTGGAGCTGCATGAGTTTGCAGACCTGAACCTCGTCCAAGCGCTGCGGTGAGGAGACTTGATTCCCTCCAATGTTCAGAGAAGAAAGGCCTGGCATTAGACACATGGTGCTACTCCTGTCATTTTCTCTCCGTTTTAGGCAGTTCCTATGGAGTTTCCGACTGCCAGGTGAAGCCCAGAAGATTGACCGGATGATGGAGGCGTTTGCTTCGCGCTACTGCCAGTGCAACCCTGGAGTCTTCCAGTCGACAGGTCAGATAAACCGCTGGTTACTGAGGGGAAGACCAGAGACAATAGGATGTTTCTCAGATGTAACCTTAAAGCTGTCAGATGAGCTCCAGTACATCTTCAATCCCGCTGTGTGTCTCTACACTATGAAAAGTGTTACTGCAGGTGGAGGAATATTTTATTCTTTGGACAGGAGGCTGTAAGACAAAGAAAACACCCAGGAGGATAGGGTATAACTCTGTTTTTTATGTAGTTCCTGTTCTTATGTTGTTCTATGGAGTAAAATTTGTATCAATATTGTTGCAAGTAAAGAAGATTTTTTTATCAATAGTAATTAAAAAAAAAATATATAAAAATGCGGGCATGCGTTGGTTGCGCGAAGTTAGCGAACATGACCCATGTATGGAGTCCTTGGTCCTTTGTCGCATGTCTCTCCCCCTCTCTCAAAAAACCCCCTTTCCTGTCAGCCTACTGTTAAAAAAAACGAGCCACTAGTGCTGTAAAAAATCCCCTGACTTCGCCAGATGGATTTGCTCCACATATCCATCTGGAAACCTTCCGTTGAAGTAATTTTGGGAAGGGGCGAAAATCCTGGTTAGCTGATTGGCCTATGTTGGTGATAGACGGGCTAAATAAACCAATCAGATCAACGAACCATATGACGTAACAGAGCGACGACGAAGAGGAGCCAATTGATAGATCAAACTTTGCCGAAACCAGTCGGGAGAAGAGCAAAAACATCTTTTCCTCTGAGAAAAGCCTCCAGAGCAGTGTTTTGCTCTTCTTTCAGTGAAGAAATACTCTGTAATTCCGATAAAACTTGCTCGATAGCCACGCTAACGCTAGTTTCATCGGCTGAAGCCGCCATGTTCTTTAGACTGAACTGTCGCGCTTCTCGTTGCGTCACACCTCAACCCGCCTCAAAGCCAACGCTGATTGGACGTTCGTTTGGTGAACGGCTCCAAATTTTCTTCAACGGAGAGTCTCCAGACTGATCTGCGAGTGAAACCTTGAAAGCTCGCGGGATCAGGATGGTCTCATGAGGCTATTTCCTGTCAGCCTTCTGTTAAAAAAAACGAGCCACTAGTGATGTAAAAAAAAATCCCCCAATTTATGTTGTTTAATTAAATTTTCTAATATTTGTATTTTTCAGAACGATTTTTAACTATCATATTCTTTTTACTTAAAGCCAAATACAATCGTTCCTTTTGAATGCTGAACAATAGAAATGCATCTCTGCCGTCACCCCAGAGGAAAGCAGGCCTCAAGGTCTGCGATCTGTAAAGCTCAGTCTGACGAGGAGAAAAAAAAGCTGTTCTAAAATTTGGGGGAAAAGAACATTTCACAAAACTAAAATGTGAAAAAAGTAAATCTCTCAGAAAACAGCAAAGTTACTCTGAAATCTTTTTTGATAAAGAAAATTTTACAAATTTTACTTCTGGATTATATTTTTTATATGTCAATTTACAAATTCTTTTCATTGCTTACAGCAATAAGTTAAAAGAATCTGCTCCACATAAGTTCAATCTGTTAAAAGAAAATTGACTAGCAGTGTTAGAATCAGATTTTTCTATTGAGAATAGTTGCTTAGATTAAGATAATTAATTAATTAACTAATTAATATTAAGACACCAGTAAAATGTAGTAAAGTCAGAGAAAAAGAACACGGTTCTAAAAGCAGTATTTTGAAAACAGGGAGTGGCGCAGATTCTTAATAAGATTTTTCTCTGGACTTGGATTGAGACATTTTTAAACCTGAATATGCTTTGACCTAAAACAGTGATTCTCAGACACCATGAGGAGAACTCTGGATCCTTTAAAAATGTAGTTTATATATTAGAAATAATATATGCACAAGAATCCGAATAAGAATCCTAAATTGCATTGGCAAAGAACAAAAGCACCTGCAATAAGTGGTTATTTTGTGGCTAATCTTCTAAAATTCTTGGTGCGACTAGCAGTTATAGAATGACTGGAAAAGAAAGATCAAGTTCTATTAAGATTGAGGTAATAATAATAATTCAATTATTTGTCTTTATTTAGCCCTAATTCATCTCAAAGCACATTACAGAGACAATTCAACCTGATGAGTCAGAATGGTTAAAAGTTTCCTCTCTAAGGAAAACCAGCTGATTGCATCAACTCACTGACTTTGCAGGATTCTGTACTAAATGAGCAGGTAGAGACGGTAGACATTAACTTAAAATTTGTCATGGAATCTACAGCCGCTGTCCCCTAGATTTTAGAGTTTTCCCAGCTTAAGCAGAGCTGATTCTAATGATTCCATCTTAGCAGAGCCTGTTAATCAGCTACCTATGGAAATCAGAGGTGCTGAAGCAGGAAACCTCTAAAACCGGCAGGAAATGGGACCAACACTGAGCAAGCCTGCTCTACAGCAATCCTTCACACTGAGCATGCATGTGGTAACAGTGGAGAGCAAAAACTCCCTTTTAACAACAAGAAACGCTTTGCAGAAACGGGCTCAGTGTGAGCGACCTGCTAAAGAGCCCAAGTGGGGTTTTAAGGAGACAGAAGCAGATATACAAAAAAACATAGAAGCACTGATCTATAAATACCTTCTATATTAGAGTGGCTAACGGTAAACTAGCTCCCCAGGCGGTACTGTCTAAGAAAGAAACAGTTATGCAGATAGGCTCTGACTCAGTTTGGACTGAAAAACAGGCCCAACTCTATCATCTACAATCAGAAGTGGTAATGGCAGCAGCCCAGCTGATAGCTTTCCCTCCAAGAAAGATTCACAGTAAAACAGGAACAGACAAGACAAAGTTACAATGATGGCAAAAAAAAGAGAGAATATAAAGTTAGGGATTGAATAGATACAGCAGAATGGAAGAAAAGGGAAAGAATGAAAAAGCAAGATGAAAAGTGGTCCCTATGTCCTCCAGCAGTCTAAGCCCATAGCAGCATAAATATAGAGATAGCTCAGGATAACCTGAACCACTATGTCAGTTTTGTCAAAAAGGAACGCCTTTACTTTTCAACCTAGCTTTAAAAGTAGACAGGGTGTCTGCCTCAAAGGCTAAAACTGGTAGTTGGTTCCACAGGAGAGGAGCCTGATAACTAAAAGATCTGCCTCCCATTTTACTTTTAGAAATTCTAGGAACCATTAGTAAACCTGCAGATTGAGAGCGAAGTGCTCTGTTAGGAAAATAAGGAACAATCAGATCTCAGAGAGTGGTGGCCTGTTGGTTAGGGGATTGCGCTTGGAGTTCAAGCCCCACTACCACTCTGGACTGCCACTCTGGGTCCTTGAGCAAGACCCTTAACCGCACACAATGCTCCCGGGAGCCGCACATTGGCATCCCACTGCTCCCCAAGAGGATGGGTTAAATGCAGAGAGTTAATTTCGTTGCTTTGTACTTGTGAAAATGTAATGACAATAAAGTTTAATTTTATTCTATGCTGATGTCAGATGGTGCCTGATTATTTAAGGCTTCATATGTGAGAAGGGGGGGTTTAAATTATATCCTGGATTTAACTGGAAGCCAATGAAAGGAAGCTAAAATAATCATTTAAAAGATAATGCGTGATAATGCGGACAAATATTATTTATAGTGTACTTTACATAAGTATCTCAAATACTAGAAAAAGACCAAAATAGCAAAGGTTAGTTATTGGAAAAGTTTACTTTGCTCCTTGATCCAAATACATTTAAGCCCATTAAAAAAAAAAAAAGACGAATGCAGCATGAATGTTTTTGCATGACACTCAATATGCAGTAGAAAGAAAAACAACAGCAACAAACAAGGTTCATCCATTATTTAGCACAAGCCAACCTGCTGTTTTGATAAACAAAAGCCTACAGCTACATCGTTCACTGAATATTTAAAGAGGTTTCAGAGACCTGATGAACACCAGCCAAGCAGCTTTATCTTTAGAGATCTGGGTGCTCAGTCTTTAAGTGCATTTGTTTAAACATTATGCTAACATGGATTGTGTTCTAACCATGATTCCCTGACTTAAACAGTTCAGTGGAGCAACTGTACATCTTAATTAAATGACCTCATCCAGTAGAAAAGGCGGGGACATTTTAATGAGCCTATGGATGTGGGACAGACCATTACCATGGTACCCCGCATCTGATGATGGCCATACACTGAACTCCCTAACAGGGAGAGGGAATTCTTGTTATTCAACAAAACGGGGGTTTCAGAGAGACAATAGGATGGATGGCGTGTCAGGGAGAGCAGACAGACACGCCAGTATGAATGATTCATTTACGAGCAGCCACTGGCCCATGAAAGTTTAAGCATTAAAACACCAGACCCATGAATCTGTCTGAACACCACTTAGATAGATTGTATGTTATTCAGCTTTTATAGGCAAGTATAAAATAATGTCTAAAAAAGTAGTACAAGAAAAATGCAAGAAAGCATTGTGATGGATGTGTCTGACAGGTCTGCTACTTTCCTTGAAGCTTTTAATCATCAATAAAATGATTTAAAAAAAAAAGGTTTAAAAGAGTTAGATTAGATAAGATTAGATTAGATGAGCTTTATTGATCTCACAGCGGAGAAATTCACTCGTCACATATTGGCATAAAAGTTACAGAAGGTGCAAACAAGGAGGAAAAAGGTGCATTAAGAATAAGCAATATATATACAATATATCAAGATAAATAGGATTAAGGTGCAAGTGTACATGTATCGCACAGAATGAAAAACAAAATAAAAATAACAAATAAAAATATGTAAAATCCAGATGCCTTATATACAGGTGGATTTACTTTTACGTTAAAGTTTAGTAGGTAAGGAACAACGGTGAGGTAGTGGTATGACTATTATATTCACATATGTTGCACAGTCAGCATATTGCACAGAATATTGCACAGTCAATAATAAAAAAACTATAATATAGCTGCACAGTGGTTTTTACAGGAGTTATTGTGTTTATAGTGCATTATTATAGAGTCTGGTGGCAGCAGGAATGAATGACCTGCGGTAGCGCTCATTCTTACAGACTGGGTGACTAAGTCTTTGACTAAAGGAGTTCAGAATGTAGAGGTTTGGAAAAACAAAATACATTAACAGATTTATAGATTGAAGTGCATAGGATCAGTTAAAGTTAGGGATGCACGATATAATCGGCCCCCTATCGGTATCGGCCTTAAAACTGAATATCGGACATCGGCCACCCCACCGATATTTAACCCCATATTTGATCAGCTTCTGAGTTTCTAAAGTCTTCCTCCAAAACTTCGTTTTTACAGACTTAAAAACTTCTAAAGATGAGGGAAAAAATATTGATAGATTAAAATATCATAATATCTTCATATGCTGATATATTGCCATTTAAAAACACCATATCAATCTCTTTTACTAATAAAATATTGTTATGCTACGAAATCCCCCGAAAATTCACGAAATTTTGCCAAATTTTATATGTTGATATATTGACGCAGTATCGATCTATTTTACTAACAAAATCTCACAAGAATTTTCAAAATATCACGAGAGTTTGTAACAGAACGATGAAATTTCACGAGATTTATAAAGTAAAATAGATCGATACCGCGTTTTTAAAAATCAATTTGATATCAGCATATGAAAATATATTTGACTATATTATTTTTCAAAGTGTCAGAAATGGATAACAAAACTGCTATTTTCAATGACTACTTATTTTTGTCCAGCTTTAACATCGGTATCGATATCGGTTATCGGCTACATGAGTTTTAAAATATCGGCATATCGGATATCGGCCAAAATCCCAATATCGTGCATCCCTAGTTAAAGTCCCAATGGAGATTGGCTAACTTGTACATTTGTGATCATTTGAACAGAAACAGATGTTTATAAAGCAGGGATCTTGAACGTTTGTTTGGTCCAGGGACTCCAGGGAAATTTAACTAGTGTAACTTGGGTCTTTATCCACCGTGGCCGTTTGCCTCAGGGTTGTTATTTTATAACGACGAGGGAGAAAGTTGTGCCAAATAACCACCTGGTCATAACTAATGAAAATGATCAAGTTCAGGTAATGTTTGATTGATAAAAGTTAAGAAATACAGTTTTTCTGTTCCCTAACTGTTGATATAAAGACATGAATCTAACGGAAGGAGGCGGTTTTGACATATTCTCTGCCTTCCTGTTTCAGATACCTGCTATGTATTGTCATTCGCCATCATCATGCTGAACACCAGTCTACACAACCCAAACGTCAGAGACAAGCCCCCCGTGGAGCGCTTCATCTCCATGAACAGGGGCATCAATGAAGGAGGGGATCTGCCAGAGGAGCTTCTCAGGGTGAGGGTTTGTCTGTGTTTGATGATGTATCATCTGTTACGCCTCTGTCACTCGTGCTCAGCACAAATGAGCCACATCCTTCATTGTTCGCCAGTTTCACTGAAAGCTTCCCTGCTTGTCTGCAGAATCTTTACGACAGCATCAAAAATGAGCCCTTTAAAATCCCAGAGGACGACGGGAATGACTTGACACACACATTCTTCAACCCGGACAGAGAGGGCTGGCTGTTAAAGCTGGGTAAGTGGATTAACAGAACCTGGATCTGGCTGGGTTCTGTCAGCAGAGCAGCAGAATTACTTTCAGTCAGTAAAGGTTTTCCATTTCCTGTTTAGATGCTCTGTTTGCATATTTTTGTTTGTGTTGATGCTGGATTTTTAGAGGCCATCTTGGATGCTGATGGATTCTGGGCAAAAATGTCCGAAGGCATCCGTGGCTGTGCTGCTCATTTTTACATGGTGTGACATACTGCAGCGTGATAGTGCGCTAAAGACCTTATTATATCACATTTACATGCTGGATTCACCAGCTCTGTTTTTGCTCTGTCAAATAGGTGGTGAACGTAATTCTTTCTCCATTAATTTAACTCCTTTGTTTGATCTAACACTGATTAACGAGAGCAGCTGAAAAGGCCCAGGTCATGATGTTACCACCTCCAGAGTTTGGGAACCTGTTGTATATGAATGCTGCCCAATAGGACACAGTTTTTATTGATGATGAATCATTCTGAACATTTAATAAAGATTTTATACTGTTTGGCTGTACTTGTTGTAGGGCTGAAACAACTAATCGGATTAAGTGTGATTAATTGTTACCTGGGCTGCTCAGTAGCACAGTGGGTAGCACTGCTGCCTTGCAGCAAAAAGGTTCCGAGTTCGATTTTCGGCCCAGGTTTTTTCTGCATTGAGCATAGACAGCTGGAGATAGGCATCAGCACTGATAAGCATTAGGGGTGTAAATCACACCCATCATGGCGATTCGATTCAGTATCAATTTCCTGACCCAATGATTCGATTATTTTCGATACTCAAGAATACACCACGATACGATTCGATTCGATTAATTGGTTTGTTTTTTTTGTTTTTTGTTTTTTTTAAACACCTTACAGGCTAGACAATGTTTCATATTTGAAATAAATCAAAGAAAGCTGTAATATCATTATGCATTTTTTTTTAGAAACAACAGCAAATAACAGAAGTAGAATGGTTGTACTCCACCTATTCCTATTAAAACCTAATTCACTGAAAAATATTAATAACCCTGCTTTATAGATTCTGAAAGGCTTTGCATAAAAAATTACTTCACATAATCAGTGCAATGAGTGCAATGCAATACCTCAGATCCTGACGTCCCCGCCCCTCCACAGACGCTCCGCTGCTCCTCTCCCAAATTGTAGCTGACCGCAGACAGCGCCGCAGACAGGAGGCCGGCTTGTTTTGTTTTTATGACCGAAATTGCGGAAAACAACTCGTGAAGTTTGACTTGCTAGAAGAGCGAGGTGCGCGAGAACGCTGGGACCCTTTTATCCACCTGGATCTCTCTTTTTGGTCCTCATGTCCCTCCGTCGTCGGACTAAACTCGCCCCCACTTCCTCACCGCCTCGGCCGTATCTAGACCCACAGCGTGTAGCTCAGACCACGCTGCAATACTGAGCATAAATCAAAAATCTCTGCATCAAGCTCACTGCAACACACTGCTGTAAGAGTATAACCAGGAAGCGAGGTAGGAGGGCAAAATAGGTTTAGCGCCACCGCAGCGCGGGAGGAGAATTACGCCCAGGAGCAAATGGATAAAAATAGACCGGAGGGGAAAAAAAACATGATTCGATTATCTTGCGGACGTATCGATGCATCGATACAGAACGATTATTATTTACACCCCTAATAAGCATGATGGAAAATAGATGGATGGATAAATGTTAACTGGAGAATAGAGACTCTAAAACATGCCTTTAGCTGACAGAGCAACCCACTTAAAGCAGTAATTATACCAAGAGATGTAAAGAAATATGTAAACATTTGGAATTTAAAAAAAAAAAAAAAAACCATTTTCGTCTGTCAATGTGCTCTATCCAAACTTCTCAAGTTTAAAAGTTTTAGTTTCATCTGGCTTAATTTAGTAAAAAGTCTTCTTTAAGGAACCTTCGGCTATCCAATTATTAATCAATTAATCGTTAGTTGCAGCTCTAACTTTTTGTCATGATGGAATGTTAAAAGTGGAATATTTTTTTTTCTTTCCTTTTTAAAGTACCTGTCTGCCACAGCCTCACCGCACTGAATGGATACTGCAAGTAACACGAGAGGAAACGTCTTTGACATTTCTACTTCAAGTCATTTGTCAAAAAAAAAAATACCCAAACGTCTTTAAATCATAATAAATTATAGATGTTTTCTGCCTAACAAAAGCACAAACATGCAGGTGAGAAGATTTTCAAAATGAGCTACAAGACAAGGCTAGATTATAGAAATGAAGTAAAAGGCAAACCCAAATGAATGACAGTTCCTGTGAGGAAAGGCTGATTGAAATGCATGTTTATGCTAATCAGAAGAAAACAGAAGAATTGTATAATGTCTTCCATTTTCCCGGTCGATTACATTAGTTTCCTGTCAGAGGACGGTCATCACTTCCATCTGAAATCAGCCGTCGTTGCTGACAGGAAGTGGAGGGACCTTAACAAGTTTGGACATTTCAGATTACAGGAGTACAGATTCAGAATTTTCAGTTGGGTATTTATAGTTCAGTGTTTGAAACTTCAATCATCTTTGGCACAATTTTAATAAACAGAAAAAAAAAATTTGCACCATATATATATTTGATGCTCTGAACTTCCATATTTGGTGTTTTTTGCACCATGTTTTCTTTTTCTCCCATGATATTTACATTTGATCACTGCTGCGCTTTGAGAAATGGAAATATTCTTAAAGGTGTCTAAACAAAATGTCATTTTGTGTGCAGTCTGTGTTTACAAAATGACAATAAAAGTCAAAGTCTAAGTCTGAACACAATAAACTTCCAAAGGATTTATGTTGGTCACTTACTGATTTGAATGATGCTTCATCTGTCATGTTATGGTGACTTTATCTGGGCGTGTTTGATTTGAAGATGAACATTGATCTGAAAGCAAAGCTGTTGCAAAGCGTAGCTATCTCTGTTGGTCTCTACAAAGATGAAGCAGTGTCTGTTTTATGGCCTCAGCTCTACTCTATTTAGGATAAATATTTAAATGTGATGTGCATGGCCAGATTGTTCTTAAATTTGTTCATCTTCATGATTGCTGCTCAAGGATTTGTTGCGTACATCAACAAATCCTACATTCTTAATCGCCCCTTTGTTTTATCTCAATCTAAGCTCGTAGCTTCTGTTCATCCTTCTGCCTTTAAGAAATCCCTCAGCATTTATTTCCCTCTTTTGTTCTTCCACTCTGTCCTTTGAGGGCTGTTCCCTCTTAAATCTTTGCATTAGGAGGTTAGTAACACTCCGACCTTCTCTGTCCTTAAATGTAAATCCCAGAATGCTATGTGCCAGCGACGGCCGTCGTATCTCCCCACGCTGGGGCCCCAAATGTGCGCTCCAAATCAGAGCTGTGAGGGGACAAAAAGGTTCATTAGTGCCGTGAGGTGATGGGTTATCTCATGCAGGTTTGAGGTCTTTGATCTGTGTGAGGATTGTCTACATTCTTCTTGTATCTCTGAGGAGGCTGCATGATGAACTGGGATTTTCCTACATGCACAGAAGAATAACATCAGTACCTTTTTTTTCTTTTATCTCAACTTTATTTAAAAAGCCCTTTAAAATAACCACAGCTGCCGCAAAGTGTTGTACATGTGAGGTAAAGTTAAAATAGTAGAAAACAACATAAAAATTTAGAGTAATAAAACAAATATAATACAATCAATTAATTCAAACAAATAAAACCAAACAAAAAACAATAAAACAAATACAAATATAGAGTCTCAAGCTGTGTTAAAAGCCAAAGAACAGAAGTTTTAAGGGAGCAGCAGGTCTGACTGAGGCACCGACCATGAACGTAGGGGTGGAGACTTAAATAATATAAATAAAATTAAGCTGAAAATGTAAAGGTCTCAAATTAAATGGGGGAAGTTTGGCTTGGATGTTATTATACAAATTTATAAGCAAGGGTGAATATCAACGAGTTATAATATATTAAAATGTCTAATATTAATTTTGCTTCTCTGATATTTAACATTCTAATCTTTTTATTTTAGAACATTTTAATATTACTGTAAATCTGAACCTTTGGAAAGGAATTTTAAACCACAGATGTTATGGCCGACACAGTCATTGGAACACAGCAGAATTGACAGTGAAGCCAACAAGAAGAAAAAAGCCTCAACAAGTTCTCTATATCTATAGAACTAGGCTGTTTAAAGAGCTTCAGCAAAACAGGAAGGTTTAGTAGATGCAACCCTGAGAGAACAGTCCATGGTTCCAGATCCACCTCAAAAAGAAATCCAGACTGCCACTTATTTGGGCAAAGGAGGCACTAAGTACAAGCCAGCAGCTCAGAGGCTTAAAGTTCTCTCATGTTGTATCAAACTGAGTTCCAAAAGTCTGGAGAAAGAGTGGAGAAGCAGAGAGTCCACATTGATTTAGTTCTGGTGGGAACTTTCCTCTGTAACAAATAGGGTTGTCACGATACTAAACTAAGTAAAATATTCGATACTCGATACCATTTTCAATACCACAAGGATAAAAACAAAAACTCCAAAATTCAACAGAAATTTTTCATTAATAAACAAAATACAATAAATAGATACATAAATACAATAAACAATGTTTTGAGGTTGTATGCTGTGCACAATATTAAGCAAGCTTCATAAAAAACTTATTAAATTAAAATGATGTGTTCCCTCCTTGGCTATGCTTTGCACACATAACAATGACACTAGCCAGACCGGTTAAGAAACAAAAATATATTTCAGCAGCTGCACCTGTTACAAAAAAAACTCTGAAACTGAAAAGTGCGTAGAATTATTCAATCACACAGTGTTCTGGAAGTGCATTTTCTACTATTCTGCACTTTATATGAATGACTGTTTAGGTGCCACTGGTGATAGCACTGTATCGATACTAAAAACGAGTATTGTATCCGGATACAACTTTCCAGTATCGATACTTTTGACAACCCTAGTAACAAAGGTAATCAATGACGTCTACAGGTGTTGGCAGTTTTGCCAACTCAACAGCAAGGAAAATCGCTACTGGCTGTCCTAGAAGGC